TTATAACGACATTCGGGAGGGAAACGCGCACGTGTGTCGCGACCGAATTTCGTAATGTCGCATTGCATGCGCGCGGCATACAAAATACAAAATATGCAAATCGGTGTGCGTGTGAGAGAGAAAGAGAATTGAAATCCTCCATCATGGTGTCCGGCAATTGCGCACTCACCTTCATGCCGGCCAGCTTCCGGGGAAAATTGTCTCTCTTTCTCTCTCTCTTTTTCTCTCTCTCTCTCTCTCTCTTTCACGCGCGCGCTACTTAATTACTAATTCCGCGCGAGTATTACGCTGGCGCTCTCTCGAGCGGAATTCCGCTCGTTGCTTCGCCCAAGCGACGTCGCGTCGATTTTCGAAGGCGTCGCATCGACCGCTTTAATTGGCAGAAAATTAATTACGCATTGTGTATACGCAATTCGACGTCGTTAACTAGAAATTCAAACGGACGGATTACGTCAAAGACATTGTCACTTAGCAATTTACGCGGAACTTGAATTAATTTTATAAAAGGTATAATATAAAATTTATAATATAAATAATATAATGTAATATAAAATTTACAATATAAATTTATATTATAATATAAAATGCAATGTGTGTCGCATACGTAAAAATTCTTGCCGAGTGAAATATTTTTTGTCGCATCTTTCACGTATATCCAATTTAACGTAGTATCGATTTCCATACTTGTCGTGACCTCGTGGAAGTATTTCGGAACATCTACAAATCTTACTGCGTACCTTAGCTGCTGCGCAGGTCAGATTCGCGTCAACATCCCGCCTTTATGACGCGTCCTCGAAGAGATTTATCCGTTGACGTGGAAAATCGAGGAGTCGAAGAAGGCCGTCGCGACGAACGAGTGAGCGCTAGCAAGAATGAACATGCCGGTAGATGCTCAAAGTGACTGGCCGAAAGCATGCGTTGAAGTGACAGAAACAGACGAATAGAGTTGAGCAGCGAGTAGGAGGTAAACGGAAGCCCGAAGGGAATACGAACGGGTGAGATGAGACAGAGAACGAAATAGAGAGCGAGAAAGAGAGAGAGAGAGAGAGAGAGCACGGGAGGGTGTGACCGAGAGAGAGAGAGAGAGAGTTGTGAAGCTTAGTTACAAAAATATATGATGAGAAATTAAAAATTTGCAAAAGATGATGACCTCCCTTGATATTTCCATTAAGAAAAAATCAGCTTCAAATTGGCTGAAAAATGCGCTCTTAAATAAATATTCGGTGATACGGAATATCCAGATATATGTATATATTTGTAATTTAAATAATATATTTGATTATAAAAGCAAAAAACCACTCTACCATACATTCATATAGATATGTCATATACATATATATTTTAATTTCTCTCTTTTTTGATATTAAAAATTAAAACATTCCTATTTTCTATATTGTATCTTCTATGTCTAATTTGCAAGTAAAGCTAACGTTTCAATATCTCTATATTTTAATTTTCTAAAATCTTTAATAACAATTTTTAAACTTTATATAAATTTGCACATACGAGAAAATTTTTCAGAAATATTGTACGCGCGTCTTGGAATAAAAATATATAATTAATCACACACATTTATTATCCTATACAATATATAAACTTTTACTTTAAATTTTTTTAATAATGCATATATAATGTTAGTGGCAAATATAATATAACTTTTGCATAGATATTACAAAAATGTGTGTTAAATATTTTAAATATTTTATTTAATA